TAGTACAACTTTTGATTTTTAAATGGCACCCTCGGTATATTTCTAATTTATTCGATAGAAAATTACACTCTGAATAGAATTTATGACAGCATATGTCAACTTTTGACATTTTCGCATATCGTTTATTTGGAATTTTAACATGCACATTGTTCCATTTGAAAAAATTGAGATATGATTAAAAATACGATTTGGCCGTCTTTTAACCGACCAGGACAAGACAAGAAAAACATTCACTTTCAACGACGATCAAATCTATTTTTCCAAGGCTCCTTGATTAAAAATTAGCGTTTTTAACACAGCCATGACAGTCTAGATTGAAATTTAAAAGACGATTTTTTTAAGCGAAAATGTCAAAAGTTGACATATCATATGTCATTCTATTCAGAGTGCCATTTTCTATGGAATAAAGTAGAAATATACGCTCGAAAACAAAGTCAATCGATCCTGATTTATGTCATATATATTAACATACCAAATCTCGTTTTTTTATCTGAAAAAATAAAAAAGTTATAGGGGGTGAGCTACTTTTGAGATGCACCCGGTATACATATAAATAAATGCCTTTATTGTCAAAAAATTTTACAATTTGTAGACAAAGGTGATATAAACAAACAAAGTAAACAAACAAACAAAGAAACAAAAGAGAATACAAAACATTATACAAATAACATTGTCAATCTTATTGTTTAAAATAAACATTTAGAAATGTTTACAGTGTCAAAGAATAAAAAAAATATAATATTCAAAAATATTTAGTTAGTTTATAGTAAATATCAATGACCTCTAGATAAATTTATTTCGATGTCAATTGTAAATATAGTAACAGCAAACATTAGACCAGTGTTTAGAAGATCAAATTCGATTATCAAAATATAAGTCATTTACGGCGTAGAAAGCCTTGTCTAGTAAATAAGATTTCAATGCTTTGCGAAATGAAGAAAATGATGTTATGGATTTGATTTCAAATGGCAGGTGATTGTGCATTTTTTTCGAGTTGTATAATATTGAACTTTTAACTAACTCTGAGCGTGGGGTAGGTAGATAAAGATCTTGCTCCGCGTTCCTGAGCGGATAAGTGTGGGATGGCCTTTCTTGAGAAGCATGCTTACGTATTAGGCAAAACAACATGCATATAATAATACGTATTAGGCAAACGGATTCAAATATAAACAAGGAAGGAAGAATTAATATTTTTAATTTTTTAAAAAAGTCCTGGCAATGAGTTCTACTGTTTAGTCCCAGTGAATATCGAACAGCTCTCTTCTGGAGCTTGAAAATGCGGTCAAATTGTGTCGCACAACACGTACCCCAGAATAGAAGGGCATACCTGAGGTGCGACTCAAAAAGTGCATAATAAACAGTTCTAGCCACTGACAAGTTAAGCTCCTTAGAAACAGATCTTAATGCAAAACAGGCAGGGCTTAATTTTTTCGATAAAGCGTCGATATGCATGTCCCATTTCAGAGAATTGTCTACAACAAGCCCTAAGAATTTTACAGATTTTACGACGTCAGTGGTGGTGTTGTTAAGTACAAAAGGCTGCAGCGAGTTTTTATACGACAAAGCTTTAGTTTTAGAAATGTTGAGACTCAGGACGTTCGAATCGCACCAAAATTTAATGGTGATTAAGTCATTTGATATAATCCTATGAAGTGCAGTGACGTCCTTGTTGCTCCAAGTGAAACTAGTGTCGTCCTCAAAAAGACATATTTTATCACTGATGTTTATGTTAACAATGTCGTTAATACGAAGAAGAAACAAAATAGAGCCTAGTATTGAGCCTCGTGGTACTCCACATTCAATTGGTTTGCTAGAAGACAACGTGGTTTATATATAAACATGATAAATTAATTTGTTTAGTCTTTTGCAAATATGAGTTATTTAGTAAAAAATAGTTGTGGGAATTTGTAATTTGCCGTGTAATACACAAAAACTTTGTAAAGCTTTTTATTTGTTCTACTTTCAAATATATTTATTGCGGGACTGAAGACAAACGTAGGAGCTACGAATATGGTCAGCCCATTCATTGTCATTATATTGGGTTATGTCTATATGATTATGTTAATTTTCTGTACTTATACATCAAATAACAATTTAAACATTCAAAAACAAATATTATATTTTATAAGTACTTTTAATTATTATTAAGAATTACATGATATTATTCATAAACAGATAAACTCAAAGTTCATAAAATCTTAATAAAAAAAAATAGAATAGAGTATTCTTAGTTTTTCAAAACAAGTGAATTTCTGCATGCTCTTGTTGCAAAACAAAACTCATTAACTTTATGTAGGTATCTGTGTTACATTCTTGGGCAAGTAGGAATTTCTTTTCAAGTTTACTTTCATTGTAAGGCGTTTATTAATATGCTAATGTGAAAAGATTTTACCGACTACCTATGTGTCATCAGATACTCCTGCATAATAAAGGAGAGAATAAACATATAATAATAATACATAAATAATTTTTTTTTCATGAAAACAGTATTTTCTAAATATCTGAAATTTATTCATTATTAACCAGTAAGAGTGTGCTCTAACATACTATGATATCTATGAATAAGGATTCGTTTCTTAGAACAAAATTACTTAAATGACTTTCTTAAATGAGATTTTTTTATCTTTTATGATCAAAGTATGTATTGTTTTCACTTTGCAACTAAATAGTCGACCGACTAAAAATTACAGTTCAACGCGTAGACTTTTTGTTTAGAATTTAACTTCATAGTATCCAAACTATTTAAAACTGTATAAGTCAGGAAATCCCAAGTATCTTGTTTTTCAAATAAATATTTTTTTTATTGAAAATATGCGATAATTGTTTTTAATAGTTTAGTAGTAAACCATAAACATTAAATAAAATATAGACAACACATAGAATTGTTGCGACATTTACATTAGTAATACAATAAGAAGAAATAATGAATTACGCATTAAACGGTAGCTTAATAACTGTAAATTATCATTAAACTATTAAGTAAAACGGTTGACAACAAAGGCGTACCGATCATCAATATAGAAAAAGACACATTGGGTCTGTTTGAAAATGAGTTTATCGCTTCACCTTGACCCTAGGTAGGCGACTTTTATTTATTTTAAGAAATATCCCGGTCACCTACTAGCTAGACGACATTTTGAGAATATCAATTTGTCAGAAAATACGAGGTGTAAAAAAAGTACTTTAAACAAAAAAGCCATATACAAGGTGTCCCAATATTCCGTGGACATAGAACTACTACATATTTATGGAATCAAAATAAGTTCTTTGTGCACAATTTACCTTTATACAAAAGTGCTTCGTTTGTCCGCTAGAGGACATGAAACTTAAAAAAATGAACACATTTTTTCAGATATTTTAAGAACCGTTATTCCGATTTGAATGAGATTTTTGGTGTCTATGTTTTGCTAAGTGCTTTAACATAATTAAGTTTTACAAAAATCAAGAAAAAGTACGGGAAGAGTGAAAACTACCCCACCTCTTACACAATTTTTAGTATAAATTTTTTCCAACTCCACCGACGATTTTTGAATTCAGATTTTTAGTTCTAATAGCACGACCACTGTCGAACATCAAATCAATTCCACTTATTTTTACCAAAAGTACAAAAGTTTCTAACTGGCACTTAAAAATTTAAAAACTATATGGAAAATTACAACGACTCGTTAATAAATAAACAAATAAAGTATCACGAGACGTAATTAAATCGTACAATTCTACGGCAACAATTTTCTGTGATTTTTCTAAGGCGTTCGACTGTGTAAATCACAAGATCCTAATTAATAAACTGCAGCACTATGGGTTCAGGGGAACATCTCCCGAATGGTATAAGTCGTATCTGAGCAACAGTCAACTGTCAAAAGTCAACTTTTGAAGGTGGGTTACCACGTTGTCTTCTAGAAAGCCAATAGAATGTTGAGTACCTCAAGGCTCAGTACTAGGGCCCTATTTTGTTTCTTCATTTATTAACGACATTGCTAACATAAACATCAGTAGTAAAATATGTCTTTTTGCGGACGACACTAGCTTCACTTGGAGCAACGAGGACGTCACGGCACTTCATAGGATTATGTCAAATGACTTAATCACAATTAAATTTTGGTGCGATTCGAACCTCCTGAGTCTCAACATTTCTAAAAATAAAGCTTTATCATATAAAAAAACGCTGCAGCCTTTTGTACTTATCAACACCACCTGTAAAATTCTTAGGGCTTGTTGTAGACAATTCTCTGAAATGGGACATGCATATCCACGCTCAGAGTTAGTTAAAAGTTCAATATTATACAACTCGAAAAAATGCACAATCACCTGCCATTTGAAATCAAATCCATAACATAATTTTGTTCATTTCGCAAAGCATTGAAATCTTATTTACTAGACAAGGCTTTCTGCGCCGTAAATGACTTATACCGTATGATCGAAAAAAAACGGAGTCCAGTTGGCTGGGAAATGAACATCAATGACATTTCCCATATAAATTTACATATAAAATGACAGCGATCTTCATTCCATAGCCATCGCTGACGCCGTTTTTTCTCGATCATACGGTATTTTGATAATCGAATTTTATGTTGTAAACAGTGGTCTAATATTTGCTATTACTATATTTATTATAAACTTTCAAAATATTTTTGAATCTTATTTTTATTTATATTTTTTTTATTCTTTGACATTGTAAATATTTATAAATATTTATTTTAAACAATTAGACTGACAATGTAATTTGTATACTTGTTTTGTATTCTCTTTTGTTTTTTTGTTTGTTTACTTTACCTTTGTCTGCAAATTGAAATTTTTTTTGACAATACGGGTTTTTTTTAGCCGAACGTTTTTATTGTTCTCTCTTTGTTCAGTACATTATAAACGCATTATACTCTTCTTACACACGGAAATCTCGACCCAAGACTATTTTTATTTATTTATTAATATCTCTGTATTTTTACACAGTACTCAATCAAACGTATTAACTATAATGTATAGTTCTCAATAATATTTTTTAGGGATTCTGCCGAACTGGAAAAACCAAAATCCACCAATTCAGTTGTGATACGTTTCTACAAGTACGTTCAAGCTGCCAGGGATGGACAAGATCAACGAGACTGTTTGAGACTATATCCAAATTGTAATATAAATACAGAAGTATCTTGAAAATTACCAAGAAACTGCTCTGCAATTATAACTTCATTAAATGAAAAGTGATATAGTGAAATTAGTGTATTAGACTGTAAAATCTACCTATATAATTCCAAAGTTCTCTTCAACTTGATTCTAGTTCATTTTCATTTGATATTCATTGGGAAATTAAAAATATCTTTTAGTATCAAAAGTTGACAATGATATGTTATTCTATTCAGAATTTCCTTTCTATTAAATAAAGTAAAAAAAATACCGACGATACCGTATAAAAATAAAAAGACATAGTAATTTCCGGTGAAAGAGGAAGTGACTAAAACTAATTGAATCCGTCAATCAATTCTGATTTATATTATACTGGGTGGTCCGAATTGTATTCCGGAAAGTTCGGCAGCATATTCTTTATGACTCCTACTGGTAGAGGGCAACACATACATGTGTTTTAACTGTTTTGAAGCGTAATAACTTTTTGTCCGTACCTGTATAAAACTACCGAGGGAGAAAATATACATCTCTATGATTTTTTACGTAAAAAATATTTCTTTGTAAAAATAGTCACGAGCAACCGTTCTCAAAATATTTAAAATGGAAAGAGTCAATACATGCCATTATTAACGAAAAATAAACACGTTGAGTAGATAGTTATTTCACTGAAATAATAAATTTTTGAAATGTTTATTTTTTTAAATTAATCATATTTTTTTCTGCAAAAATGATGATTAAACAGTTTTTAATGAACGTTTAGTACAAAAACATTTCAAATTTATGATCTCAGTCTCATAACTACATTTAATCAACATGTTTAATTTATGTCAGTGATGACAGGTATTGATAATTTCTATTCCAAATATCTCGAAAACCATTACTCGCAGCGATTTTTACCAAGAGACCTTTTTTACGTAGAAAGCGTTGTAAATGTATATTTTTTTACTCAGTAGTTTTATACAGGTACGGACAAAAAGTTATTACACTTCAAACCATTTAAAAAATATATAGGTGCCGCCCTCTACTAGTAGGAGTCATATTGACATCACAATCAAATTTCTCATGTCAAAAAACTCCCAGACGCCAATTTTAATCCAAATATTGACGTGACTGCAGAAATTATTTGGAAAAAATCGAAATAAAAATGAAACTTCTACACCCTGTATCTCCGAAACTAAGCATTTTTGGACATACATCTATACGAACATTTTTACTTATTTTTATCTGCAGAATATGCTGCCGAAGTTTTCGAAATACATTTCGGACCACCCTGTATGCTAAAACACGAAATCTTGTTTTTTTACACCCTAACCTAACACCCGGTATATGAAAATATATTTTATAATAATGTAAAAGGAAATGATTAGGAATTAAGTTAAGGAAACTAGAAAGGAACAATACTTAATATTTTGTAGCTGTAAGTAGTTTAGAACAATGTGTGCCAACTGTAAGTTACATAGAAAAGAATGTAGTGTGAATGTAGTTAGTTTGTAAATTTACTTAAGCACTAAGAACGTTTTTATATTTGTTTATATTTATTATAATATGAAAAAATGTTAGTAGTAATGATTTTTGTTGATGTAGATATTATTATAAACGCGCATATTGTTTAAATTTATTTTCACCATAGTTTAAACTTTAGAAATAAGACTAACTTATTTATTTATTTATTTATTATCTATTTATTATTATTTCTAAAGTCTATTTATATTTGCTCAAGCATATTTTTATATTTGTATAATACAAAGAAAATGAGTCAATCTAGTTAAAAACAAATTAGATATGTTAGTAAAATATTCTAAATTAATATTTTAAGGAACTTAAATAGAATCATTGGACAAAATGTGGTTTTGGGTTTGAGTATTTTTATAAAAATTTTGTTAAATGGTTCTTAAATTTCGAAGGAAATCAACTGCTAAACCTAGTAATAAGTTTTAGTGCATACATAGTAGTTGTGGCAATAATGTAAATTATGGGTAATTTATTTGCACTGTAACTTGAATAATAAAAATTATTGTGATATTGAGATGAATATTAGTTTTTCCCAATATAGAAAATTGCAGATATCAATCCCATCAAAAATATAAAAAAATGTGAGATCTCATGTAAAACCAAGTCAGTTGTTTAAGTTTCTATGTAAGCACCTATTCAAGAACATTTTTAAAGATGGTTATTTAATTAATTACATATTCATTAAGTCACATGTTATTGTGACTGTATCAATATTATATATTTTTACTTCTATTATAATTTTAATGATTTTGCAATTATACAGCAACATATTCTACTAACTAAAAACTTTTATTTTTAAATTCACTCTTTAGATTTACTTAGTAATCGAAGTGGTAGATTATTCATTTGTTATAGTGCCATGGCGAGCGCCAAGTCAGTATAATGATTATAGAAACTAAGATGTCTAATACTAATACAGTCACTTCTGGTTCCCATTGAGTCTTATTGTGGCAAAGGGATACATTGAATAACTAGGTATCATTACTATATTTTTTATTAAGCACTTGACTGGACAAAATTATTATCACAATGAACAGAATTACAAATCATGATTTGAGGACAAAGTTTCCTTCTTCCATTATTATATTGTCATGTTTGATCCTACCTCTACTGGTTAAGTTAGGTAAAAGCTTTTATTTCTTTTCTTGGGCGATTGCTCTCAATCTGATTTCTCACAATCCTGGCTTTATAGCTAGCTCGAATTTTTATTATGTCAATTGTCTCGCACTATAATTTGTAATACAGTTTACAACAACATCTGGGTTTCTTTTGGTAGTTCTCTTAACCCTTCATTTTGTCAAACCGAACTACACTCAGATATAATATATACAATGAGTATTACTCATAGCTTAAATTTATGAAAAGAACACCAAAAGTTATCTTTTTGAAGAAATTTTATCAGAAAAAATGATTAAAGAACTAGTTAGATACCTAACATCCCCTAAAAAATAATTTGTTACAGTAAGACATTCACCAAATTGTAGAGATACTAATATTGCTCACAGAAGTATTTGACCCAAAAAGCTGGCCAAGAGTCGAAATCTTAAAGTTGGACAAATCAATCTCTGACTATTCTTCGGAGAAAATAACTGGTCTCTTATCTTTGCCTCCCTTCATTTTCAAGTTATTTTTGCAAAGTGCCACTGCATATGAAAACTAACTTGTCATTGGATATACAAACCTATCCCCGTTTAAAACATCGGTGTAAACTATCGATGTATCAATCTTTTTTTAAAAATGTTTTATATCGATGTTTTCAAAGAAATATAGCCCCATCTATTTGAAATATTTGAACCTTTAAATTCTCCGTCTACTACTATGAAAGTTCGAAACAATATTATTTATGACACCCGGTGAAAGTATTAATTTTATCAGTAAAATAGTATTCATGTACTATTTCTATAAATGACAGGTTCATCAGTATCAAAAGTCATCAAACAACAAATGCACGACTTGTAACATGTAGATTATACAGGATAGAATGAATTATACTACAAACAATTATATTGAACATCCCATACGGGAACAAACCATCGGCCCAATCTTGGTATAGGACTGGTTCAGTACTGTAAAGATCTGGGCCAACTATGCATACCAGTCTTGGCCCAGCTTTGGGAATAGCCTGGAATGATAACATCGTGCCAGGCTTGGTTGTTACAGTTGGGCCAAGCTAGATCACCAAGGCTGGGCCATGCTGGATTACCAGAGTTGGGCCAAACTTAATCACCAACACTAGGCCAATTTTGATGCCCAAGGCTAGGCCAAGTTTGATCACCAATACTGGGCCATATTTGTATACTAGTTTTGGCCCAACTGTGGTACAAGGTTCGAATGAAAACATCGGGCCAGGCTTTGAATCCGACATTGGGCCATCACTGATCGTCAAGTCTGGGCCTGGCTTGAATGCCAAGACCAAGCTATGTTTGATCGCCGAGAGTTTAATTGTCGAGTTTGATCCAGCAGCAAAAAAATAATTGTTTTTGAACCCCACAATTGTTTTTGAACACACAAATAATTACATTCATATATTTAGATTAGACTTCAGAAAAGCATTTAACAGCCGTACACCTGCTTTATGTGCGAATTTTCTGTTTAAAGCTTGTCAGCTGACTGGTGGTCAGGTCAAGGAGACCCACCCATGATACAAAGAATACAAGGTATGATATTGCGCAGGTTGGTCATTACGTTACAGGTGATAAACGGCACCATTGGTCGGCGCCAATTTCAAATTGTCAAACAGATGACATAATAAATGTGAAAATAATTTTTCAAATGTCAAGCTCCATGATTTGACATAACTGTTGGGGTTATTTCTTAATTCTTCCCTATTTTAGGTCTTTTTTTTTATTAGTGACAATTGAACAATATGGATATTTTTTGTCTGGCGCATGACGTCACAGGTGGTATGCGCAAGCTTAACGAGGTTGGAACCGCTATCGATCATACTTTGTTTTCTTTATACCATGCAATTGAACAATATAGATATTTTTTTGTATGGCATATGACGTCACAGGTAGTGTTGGGAAAATTCTAATTAAATAATACGACTAATTCGATAGTAAATTAAAACTAACTAATTCGAATTATCTTTTTCGATATAATCGAGATAAAAATTAGTAGTATTTTATGTTATATCTGTGCTAACCGAATTACAACGAAATTGGAGCCGCTATGTAGCCGATCATACCATGCCTAGGAAACTCTTATGGTGTTAGTGACAGTTAAGTGACAGGTTGTAGCCGATTACATTACTAAACGCACGAGGGGGCGCAATTAGCAACAAAATTTTACAAAATATAAATTTTTACCTGTTTTTACCTGGTTTTTACCCAGTTTTTACCGTCAAATGTAAAATTTAGCCTGTCAACAGTTGTCAATCTATATTTTATTTTGCCCGTTAAGCTTGATTTTCATGCATCCGTTGTCCGACGATACGTTGATACGATATAAATTTTATTGGTAGAATTTAAAGACTTTGATTGGTTAGAAAATAACGCAGTTTTTAAAATTATTACATTTTCATGCCTCCGTTTATCGGATATACGTTGGTGTTATTTTATATTTTCATTTCCATAACGATTTTGCTATTTTACTTATATTTTTATTAAAGTTAGATTAAATTTGACAAAAAAGTGTGAAAACGTCCGTTATCGTATGAACGGATCCGTTGGCGGACTGAAGTAGAATATTTACGGATGAAAAGTGGCGCGAAAACGCTATGACCAATCAGAGCACCGTCGGA